TATCGCTAATTAGATCCTGGTCTCCGTTGGAAGCGATGCGCTGCAAAGCTCGTTGTTAGTAAACTTGGTCGACATCATAAGTCGCGAGGGAAGGGATTGCTGTAACCTTCTCGCGATAAAAATATCTCAGGCAGGAACCGCTGGAGGGGCCCACCCCCCCCCTCCTATGTGACCCCGGTTGGGTCGTCTAGCTGGTAGAAGTGGAGGATAGGGGCCAGAGGGGCAGACGATAGAGCTCAATGATGGGAGAGAAAAAAAAAAAAAACTACAGCAACGGGGGGGGTTTGTTAGCGCGCTCAAATATTCTTCTTGGGTGGCGATATCGAGGGTCGTATTTTGGCGGCCTATAATCTCCGCAAATCTCCGCAAACTTTTTCGTCTTGTACTGGTCGTGCTCGCCGCCATTGACCCCAATCTCCTGAATTGCGATTTGACTGCAGTAGCTGATGCCACTAGCTACTGCTGACGACCCTCCGTTCAGGGGTTTGTGGTCCGGGCGGGGAGCACGGCTGCGATAAAATTGGGTTCCGACGCAGATTACGCGCTGTTTTCGGAGGCTGCTGGTACCTTCGATATTATTTCAGCTCCTGAACGTGCCAGCACACAGGATACCTCTTCATGGTGTCCTCTAATGATGACCGTAGAATGCACAAAACCTACACGGCCGGAAGGTTGCTTTTTCTATATTGGATGTAAGTATTTATATAGATCCAGCGTCAACAGCTTTTCTTCCATCCCTTGCAGTCTAACACCAGTACGAATCTGCCATGGCGCAGCAACCATCCGGTGTGGTCGCTGGTGTACAACCTTATCAGCGGAGGTTGCAGCGCTTGTGAACTCTACAGATTAGCGGTCCGCGATTTTCCAAACGATCGGTTCAGTACCGAGCTCTGTGAGCTCAAGCAGGATTTTTGACGCTGCTGTGCGGTCCGGTTAGCACGCAGACAGTGACCGCGAACCAGCGCCTATATGAGTGTGTGGGCCCGCGAACTTAAGCTCAGCCAGCCCTCACATATCCTGAATACTTATCGCCGTAGTCGATGCCTGGCGTTGTGTACATGTAGGTCAGCCATAAGCAAAGTGCCTGAAGCGATAAATAATCCTGCTTATTGCTCACCGAAACTCGACGATAACATGATCGTTCGGAAAATTGCGGACCGCACATCTGTAGTTGTTGTTGTTGTTGTTGTTTCTCACATTAGCTCTAAAAAAAAAAGATTGGGAGCCCGTGGTCTCAAAACCCGGCATACACGACCCCACGAAGAAACAGAAAAAAATAGGGTACAAAAACCACTCGGAAGAGAAACAAAATGATAGAAAGAAAGACCAGCTACCGCACCAAACGAGAAAGAGCGTCGAGGAGACCGATCAAAA